TCTCCCTTGGTTCCTGAAAATAAAGTCTTGGTAAAGTATTCTCCAGCGTCTCCTCGTTCCTCGTGTGTGTGTGTGTGTGCATCGTGACAGATATACTCTTAAAGGGACAATGCATTTCTTAAATAAATCTTAAAAATCATACACATCTTAACTCAAAACAATAAAACAATAGATATAATCATATCAAAGAAACAAAATTACATTTATATTCAACAGGAAGAAGGGAATTTTGAGTGGAAATAATATAACCAAAATACACGAGGAAGTGCTATAAGTTTCTGTACTCCTGAATGTTTCTTTGTGTGCGTCGGGCGATCTTCAATCTCTGTTTCTAATCGAATCCTTGTCCAACACGCAATGAACCCTTTTCACATTTACGAGTTTCTCTGAAGCGGAAGTCATCAAAGTAAACTTCTATAGCGGTGAACAGGATATTTTTGCATTCCCATTTGATTAAGGTGACCAGACGTGCCACTTCCTAGGGATACGTTCTGCCCAGGATTTCAAAATTGCGTAAAGTGTTCCCGGGAAGTGGCACGTCTAGTCACCTTACATTTGATCAAACTTTACATGATTTACAATGCTGATGATCATTGAAACACGTCATCACAGTCTGTGAAAAGGGTCCATGTGTTGGGTGAAATATTAACGATTAAGAGCGTGCATGGAATGGATCTGCACTCCCAATTTCCTCCAGAAAAAGTAAACCTTCCGGGTACCTCTGGGATAATCACTTCAGAAGGCCTACTACAATTTGGGATACACTAATTCTAATTTCAAATACTATTTAGGGCTGATATTATATGGATGCCACAAGAGATCATGAATTAAGATCGCGAAAAAAAGAAAACTTGCCGACTAACCAAACTGCTTAATAGCTGCAAAATAACACAACTACATTTCCATTCGTGAGAGAAAACCCAAATGTTTCAGCTTTTAAAAACACACTCCTTGTGCCAGGCACATCTGCATCATGTCTGGAACTATACATTTTTTATATGAAATATTTTATCATAAACCATTTATTAAGATTAAATCTGATCAATGTATTACACCCTTGAAGATGGTGTCATGACTACTATGTATCAGTAGCTAAACAGTTTTTAACTCTACACAAATGTGTTTACTCTATGTTTGAATTAGAATTAATTATGTCCTCTAAGCTAAATTGTGTCATATATTTGCTTGTTTGATTAAAAAGTACATACATTTAATTCTAATCTATTTTATCCAATGTCATGATATGGATTAACACAATGGAAGTGTGAGAATTCTGTAGTGACCAAAAAAAGGAGTGTTCAACAAATCAGAAATGAGATTCAACGAGTTACAATCCATTACAATGATGAAAGTCTTCATCCTAACACAAGCATGTCTTCCTAAAGGATGCAATGATTACAGTCACGTATTGTAGTAGAGTAATCAGCAGAAGAGATGGTTTATAAACAAACAAAAGGTTATTTTTGTCTTAGCATAACAATCCACGTCAGAAGTTTGACTCACCTGCTCTGATAAATTAGAGCTCAGCACGTTTGCGTGCAGAAAACAATAGCCGTTGTTTCAGCCCCATGGGATGTGCTCGCACGTATCAATGATCACCACTGAATTTTGGCTAATTTGACTAATTAATTTAATGAATTAATAAAAAACATCAAAGCATTTTACTGAAAACAGATCAAACTTACATGACGATTTTCATTTTGGTTAAAATATGTACAATAGCCAACAAAACTGAACATATATTTTAGCAACATATTTTAGAATATGTGTACAAAACACTTTTTTGTGAATTATATATATATATATATATTACATTTACATTTACATTTAGCCTAGTCATTTAGCAGACGCTTTTATCCAAAGCGACTTACAAATGAAATAAATAAAAAGAAAACAAATAGAATACAAAAAGATTAGAAAAGCTAGTGTGTTTTTTTTTATTTAAAAAAACGAGCAGTAAATGAATAGAGTACAAGTCTAAAAGGGACAAGTTTTTTAAAGAATAGAATTAGAATAGAGAGTGCTAGAGTTAGAGGGTCAAAAAAAGATGGAAGAGATGTGTTTTTAGCCGAGTCTTAAAGATGGCTAAGGACTCAGCTGCTCGGATTGAGTTGGGCAGGTCATTCCACCAGGAGGGAACATTTAATTTAAAAGTCTGTGAAAGTGATTTTGTGCCTCTTTGGGATGGCACAATAAAGCAACATTCACTTGCAGAACGCAAGCTTCTAGAGGGCACAGAAGTCTGAAGTAATGAATTTAGGTAAAGGGGTGCAGAGCCAGTGGTGGTTTTGTAGGCAAACATTAATGCCTTGAATTTTATGCGAGCAGCTATTGGTAGTCAGTGCAAATTGATAAACAGAGGTGTAACGTGCATTATTTTTGGCTCATTAAAAATTAATCTTGCTGCCACGTTCTGGATTAATTGTAAAGGTTTGATAGAACTGACGATGGGTTTGATGGAACCACAAGCAGTTCTGTCTTGGCAAGGTTGAGTTGAAGGTGATGATCTTTCATCCAGCAAGAAATGTCTGTTAGACAAGCTGAGATGCATGCTTGCATGCATGCATGACTGAGAGGTAGAGTTGAGTGTCATCAGCATAGCAGTGATATGAAAAGCCATATTTCTGTGCCCTGAGGTACCACAGTAGTTAGATTTTGCGACTTGGACACTTCACCTCTCCAAGATACCTTGAAAGACCTATCTGTGAGGTAAGACTCAAACTACTGGAGTGCGGTTCCTGAGATGCCCTTTGCCATTAGTGTTGACAGGAGTATCTGGTGGTTAACTGTGTCAAAAGCAGCGGACAGATCCAGCAAGATAGGTATTGAAGATTTGGAATCCGCTCTTGCCAGTCTTAGGGCTTCAACAACTGAGAGCAAGGCAGTCTCGGTTGAATGTCCACTTCTGAAACCAGACTGGTTGCTGTCGAGGAGGTTGTTCTGTGTGAGAAAGGCAGAGACTTGGTTGAACACAGCTCGTTCAAGTGTTCTTGCAATTAAAAGAAGAAGGGAAACCGGTCTGTAGTTCTCTAAAAGAGATGGGTTAAGAGTGGGTTTCTTAAGTAGTGGGGTTATACTAGCCTGTCTAA